AAATCAGAAAGAAAAACCGACAAAACCTAAGCCATGTTAATGATTTGTCAGATTCCTCACAGGGCCAAAAAGGGGACAGGAGGTGCTCACACCACAAGAGACTCAGTCACAAAAGAGATGACAATAAAGGCAAATAATATTTTCCAACTCCACAAAAGATCTGATGCTATTTTTCAGTAATGATGTGTGGTAGGTACACCTTTGGAAAGGTTTAAGAAGTCCCTAAGTCCAAACTCCAGCTGATGAGTTTGATAGGCTCCTGCAGAACTTTTTTTCTTCCTATGATAATCTGGGGCTAATACTTTTTTTCAGAAGAAGACAAAGGTAAGAGTTGTAGTAATAGCAGCAAAGACACTGGCAGTTGCAGTGTYTAATCACTTCCTGGAATAAGATATGAATAGGCACAAAATATAAAGCAGCGGTCTCTAAAGCTTAGAATAACTAATATATAATTATCTAATAATAGATATTAATGCAGTTCCATCCCAATGGTAGCCATCTGCTAAATTTTAATGGCCACTTTCCACATCTTTCTGCACAACTTGCACCCTGCTTGTGTGAAGTCATCAAGTCTCTGACTTTCCCTCCCTAAGAACAAGCAGGACTCTGTACTTGTGCCACTGAGGCTGCTGCTTATTGACGTAATTCGATTGCAAAGAGGGAGTTTGGAACAACGATAGCAACTTGGCATTTAAATATAAATATAATTAAGCTGTGCAGCCTTATCAAAACTCCAAACTTGGCTTCTCCCTGACACTAGGACACTTGCAAAGCTCATTCAATTACCTGCTAATCACACAAAGACTCATTCTTTAATCAAAAAAATAAAATCCAGTATGAACATGTGACAGACGGATAACMCATAGGTTCTCATCTCACCTTGACATTTTACTTTCCCGGCTCATCATTTCCATTTTTTTTAATAGCTAAAGTGGAAGAAATGCTACAGCAGTGATGTTACCATCACTGTTAGCATACTAGAGCTTCAGACAGTTATTCCTTTTGGTTACATTAACAGAAAACTATGCAAAGATCATGCTCTTCCTTCTGAATATTCACTTATCAAGAAAGCAGAACACTATACAAGGCACCAAATATCCATTTCCATTATTTCAAAATTCATTTTGTCAAGTCAGGTCTACTCTTCTACATCCATAAACCTGGAGACTGCAAAACATTCACTCAGGCAAATAACCAAATATGTATTGCACATACATAACATTAAACATGCACTTAGAAAAACTCTAACACAGAAATGGGCTTAGGTCAGGTTTGAATGGGAATCTAAAATGCACCCTACATCTAAAAATCTATTTTTTGAGAGTTGAGAAATATTTAGACTGAAAAAGATACATTTTCATATTTCAATTCTAATTAATTTGTTTTCCAGCAACTGAGACAATTTCATTTCTGAAATACTTCAAATGAAATAACTATGTTTTACTTGTTTGTTGGACCGCTGCTTTACAGATGAGACAGAGATACTCAATCTGCTAAAGTAAAAGACAAATTTCTCCTAAAAATTATAGTAGACAACAATATTCAAACCTATTCAGCAGGCATTCAATCATACTATGACTGATGCAGCAGGACAATCTGGATACAAGGACATGTTTAATATTGCATACAGTAAACACTCCCACTTATTTCAGCTGCCCCATTTGGTACAAACCCTTAGCACACACACATGTGTCTTTATCAAAACAGGATCAGTGGTAAGAGTTTTACCTCACTGATAGCAAATAGTTAATAAATGTAAAAATATTTAGGATATCTATAGCTTTATGAATTTGGAGAAGATGCATTTGTTGTAGCCCTAGTTAAACAAAGCTAAACATATGAATACAAATATTTTGTTTTTCAGTGGGCTACGCATAATTTCAGCAAATAAATCACTCGTATTATCATGTGCTGCTTGAATAATTTCTCCACTGCTTTCCTCACTTAAGATAAAGGTCTTCATTACATATTTGAGCAATCAATACCTGGAATCAAATAAGTCACGTTTCACTGGGGAAAATGAAAGTGAATATTGCCAAATTAATGCTGTCACTTTCTATAAACAGTCAATGGTTTCCCACTCTACAAACCACTAACTTCCTTATTTTACAATAGGAAATGCACTCTGTGGCATATTTTAGAAGTCTAATTTACTCAGAGTAATAAAAAGATACCCTCAAGACACATTATGTTTGTCATATTATGACTATTTTTAAATATTCTATCTTAAGAACGGTACATAAAATTCCAAGCATGGTACATAAAATTCCAAGCAAATCAAACTGATTAAAAACTGATAAATGGGAAAGTTTTTTCTTTTTTTTTTTTCTTCATTGTATGAAAGATCTGCAGAGGAAGTACCTATAGTGTATTGGTACCGTACTGTATACCAACATAAACTCTGTCTCAATTCTGAGTATTCTCTTTCCACAGTTTGTCAAAGAAAGAAAACAACTAGGGATATGCTTTTATTTCTAGCATTCACACTGCTTCACAGCACCTTTTTGCAGGAACCTCATTTCACAGGGATGCTGCTGGAAGGCGAAAGGATGGCACAAGTTCACAAGAGAAAATTGGCTGCGATAATAAAAATAAAAAAAAAAAAGTACTGCAAGCACCATAAGCTTCAAGAGATCTTCACCACTTTTTCTCCTCTCTAGCTTTGTGTTTTAACTAGTAAGTACTTCCAAAGCATGGAAATGTTTATTCCTTAGCTGATGAAGTTCCTTAAAATGTGGAGCATCTTAAGAAGTTGAGAAACTGTCTCCATTTAGCAGTAAGCAATCCATTAAGCATTAAGTCGCAGGCATCCCTACTCAAGTCAAAGGTGTGATATTAGTCTTGCTTCCCTTGTAAATCCACTTTAATCCTAAATATTAAAAAATCATTAGATAGCAAATTACATGATGTAATCTTGTTTTCAGGCATGTTACCTAGTAAAAAGAATTAAAATAACCTCTTGTTTTATATAACCTCCATTACAATAACAAATTCTGGCATAACAGCACTGGTTAATCTTCAGTTTGATATCTATCATCTCCCTGTTTTGATGGAGGCAAGATTGAAGAGCCTTTAAAAGTATTCTGCATCCCAATTACCTGCAAGAGCTGACAGGTACACACCCAGAAATACAATCCTCTTCATCTGATGGGCTGATAAAACTTTAAAGCTGTGTATTAAACTAGCTGCATATCTGCATTGTGAGCACCTGATCACTTTGGTACCCAGCTGCTTATAATAAAAATGCATCAATAATATTTTACACTGTTTTCAAAGAATGCTAATTCAATATGGTCTTTCAGGGGGTGGAGGATGGAAGGGGAAAGAATAAGCCCTAAAAATCAAAACATAGAATGGATCAATTTCAAATTGTTAAATAGCATTTTACTTAAACAGCATTAATGCATTTTAGGGTCTTACATATTCCAAGTTCCACAAATCTCTAGAATTCAAGCCTTTTATTTTGATAACTAAAAATGAATTAAGATGACAACTTTTATGCAATCAAGCTTAACCATTTTGTACCAGATCCTAAGACAGTATCAACAGAGACATCAGCTTAAAGTAATGAGATTCTGTCAACTTATACTCTGAATCTGTCCTTTCAACTGTTTATTCTAACAAAAACAGTGACAAAACTCACCAATTCTGCATTTTCTGCAGCTAGTAGCAACCATGAACAACACACACAAAAACTAGAGCAAATATTAATAAAAGGAACAACTTTGTGTTTAAATATGATGTATAGACTCCAATGGGGGGTCTCTACATTAGCTCTCAAAATACAAACGGTCATCATTCTTCCAACTGCAGTGCAGATGTTCCTGTTTTAAAAGCCCTTTATCTGCTCTAGATAAAAGGCTAAAGAATGATTATGTACAATATCCAAAATGTCTGAGGAATGAATAAATCTAAAATTACAATTTCTCATAAAAAGTAAGGCTTATTTTGGAGTTTTTTGATCCTTTTTTTTTGATCCTTTTTTTTTTTTCCAACATTTATGTGTTGTTTTTCCATAAACAATTAGTACCCTTTCAGCATCAGTTTGAAAGGGTACTCTACTGGGCAATTACTTAGATTCATCCTCTACCATTTAGCCCTCAGTAACTTGCAAAGCTCTGGGCACTTGCTGCTACAGCCTTGCATTTCCACGGGTTTCTTTACCTTCTACCAACAGCAGATTACATTTTTGTTCTATCTGTGATCAAATCCAAAGCCCACACCAATTTTCTGTTCCTTGCTCATTATTTCCACACCGATTTTAAATCTTTCTGAACCCTCTTGAATTAGTAGGACTCTGTGGACTCTCTCATTCCACGTCAGAGCAAGAGGAACACAAAATTCCCTGTTGCAAGGGACACTATATGTTTCTTATCATGCTTCATATCAAGCAGCATGTTATTGTTATAAAATTGTTCTGAATGCACCTTGAGTCAACCTTGGTTATCGTTATTAATCAAGAAAATTCTAAGTAATTCAAAGTGTACACTGATTTAACTAACCACAAAAGAAAGGACCAAGTTATACTCAAGTCTCAAGTCAAATTTATTATATTTAAAGCATACTGTTCTTGCACATCCAAAACAGGCTCATAATTATATTAGCAGCGGCCTTGTTGGCAACTACCTTGCAGGCTGCAGTCATTTTAACTATTTAGATAACTAAATGGGTCTATTGAATAATTAGCCATCTTCTGCATCTAAAAAAAAACCACTTTCATCTGATAATGGACCATATGAAGTGATTTGCAGGAAAAGACTAAATTCTCAGCAAAGGCAGCATCTCAAACAGCTGTAAGCAAGTGGTCAGCAAATGCAATGCCCAAGAGCAGCTCTTCGTCAAATGTCCAGGGCATTTTAGAACCATCATGCTACAAAATGCACACTGCTCTTCGCTTTGTACAAGTACTTCGCTGTTTCCCAGTAATTGTACTGTACGTTTCTTTGTAGTTCTAAAAATATAATGTCTAGTTGAAGATATCCAGCATTTGTCTGACTTACCAGAACGATGGTGATGTTGCTCTTCTAGGAATTCCAAGTCAAGCATTAGGTCATCTTCATCCAGCTCACAAGAACCCAAGTTATTCAAGACATCCTAGCATTAAAAAAAAAAGGGCAGGCATTTAGACTTATTTTTTGTTTGTTTGTTTTTAAATTAACATGAGGCCAGTGGGAAAAATCTATGAATTGTCCAAGCAGAAAYGTATTTGTCCCTATTCTTTGATATTAAAAGAATCTTGAATCTGAAAAGCATAATTAGAAATAATGCTGTCCATATAATTTCATTCTTCTACTATTCAACTATTCAACTTCAATGATTATTTATATATTTGTAAGTTTAGTCATAGCTTTTTATGATGCATCAAGCAATTACTTTAATGCAACACACCTCAGTACTTGATTTCCACAAAAGCGTTATTCCTAAGCACTAAATGCCCTTACTAATATTCTCTAAAGAGAGAATTCCTGTTCCAGGACATGGACAAAAAGAAACATAAATTTAGGAGATAAAACAAATTCAGGAAAGAAGAATCAAYTCATGAATTAAGGCAGATATAAAGGCTCATTACATTGTCAGAGTAGAATGCCCGAAACCTAAGAAGTAGTTGCCTAGTTCTCCATTCTCTTTTCATTATTCATTATATTTTCTAAGTTCAGCCAAAGCAGGTAAGTGGGGTTTGTACAAGACATCCTTCGAAAAGTAAAAAGGTGTGCGGCAAATATATTCCAAAGAGAATGAAAGAGTAACTTTTGCTCTAAGCTTTCCTCTAAATAACTAGTTTCTCAGAATGCAACATGACTAAAGCCCCACTTAGACAGTCGGTGTCAGACTGCAACACAATGAACAGCTAACAGGGAAGAGCACCCCATGCAGGGAGCCGCTGTCCAAGACAGGCTCTCTCTCCCCTTCTCCTCTAGAAAGAAACAGAAGCAAATTGCCAGTAGCAGAGCAGCACGCCGAGCTGCACCTGCACCAGTGGCACTCACTTATTCACTGCTGTGCATTCCTGGATGCAGCGCAGCCAATGCTGGATGATGAGCAGAGGAGGGAATTGCAGAGTGAGCACTTGACATGAAAAGTGCCTCTATTTATAGAGATGTCCATTATATTAATTGCTTTAGTCATCACCTCCAAAGAGAAGCATTGGTTTGCAAAAAGTGATCCCAGAGATGTGAGAGAGATCCAAACTTAGGAACAGATCTAAAAATACATCCAAAGAGAGAATTCCAAGGTGGTGCCTGGGCCTACCTCTAATGTACCTCTTCAGAGGCCATCATAGAAGACCCATTAAATGACTCACCTAATGGCATGGGTGGGCAGTGCGGCTGCCAACCCACCCCCATRCCTTGCCTTGCTGCCTCTTTTCCTAGGGAGGCTGCCTTCTTGCCTTGGTTTTTTTTCCCCACCATGCCACAATTAGTAGCAATTTTCATTTCAAGCGTAATATTTCTTGAGCCTTTCCCTGCTCTCCTAACCACTGCTACTCTACTCTTTGAAAAATAATACAATAAAATCAAAGAAAGAAAGAAAGAAAGAAAGAAAGAAAGAAAGAAAGAAAGAAAGAAAGAAAGAAAGAACATGTTCAAGCCCTATGAATAGTTTGAAGGCTCTGAAGAATGAGAATTGAGCACTTCCACTAAGGTTCCAAGGAAATGCTCGCTATCTATTTATGACAACACACCTTTTATTTGTTCCAGAAGCTAAATCATCCTGTGAAGGCAGAAGCTCTGCAGCAGAAACTTCTTTATTGGCTTTGTGATAGCTTCTTGGAAGCTTTAAGAAGTTCTTCCTCCTTTTGGAGTCTTTGTTTCCCACTTGACTTCTACCACCTCTTTGTATTTATAGTGATGGCATAACTAGCACAACTGGGTTTCTCATTTTGCACTCATCTAAACATTTATTATACCACAGTGTCTGTCTTTGATGCACAGCAGCATCTTGAACTGCAAAGCTTCCCTGAATCAACACTGCCTGAGCAGCTGCTATAAAGAAGCACTCAGGACAGTCATYCCTGCAGCACTGGTTTGTGGGGCTTGCATCTGCCCTAACATTTTATACATAAGCAAGTGCTGAGCACAGCCCTACTCAGAGTGCTTGCACAGGGTTTTTATTACAGTCCTCAAGGACCTGTAACCAAAACCATCAGTCCTAATACTTTCTCCCTTATTGCTATTTTAACAGATGAAGAACTAAGAGCAAGTTGAAGCAACTTGCCTTAACACCATCCAGGCCGAGTACAGCAAACGGGAAATAAATTCAGAAAAACAGAATCACACCCTACAAAATGCTGCCTTGCAGCTTCTGTTGCAACATTCCCAGTTAGGGAGGAAGAGCATAAGACATTCTAACGTCCAAGTTTAAATCACTTACTAGACCTCAAAAGTGCAAAGGTCCTGAACAGTCTCCAAGCAAGAGTCATATTCTTCTTTCTAAGTATTGCTATAAGGAAATGGAAAAGGGTGTCCTGTGAAAAAAACACTGAAAAACACTGAGGGAKGTCAGGCCAGAGCAATTTGCTGTGGATACAAAAAAAGCGGTGGTCAGAAAAAAGTCTGCCATCCCTTGTTTAGAAAATCAGAAGTTTGTTAGAGCTAAATTTCCCTCTTGATAGCACATTGGAAAATGAGAAGAAACAGAAGYAACTGAACACCAGGTTGACTAGGGATTGCATGTTAATTAGAATAAAATTGCAAAATAATGTATAAAACTCTCCAAAGATACTGGTAATGACAGAGAAGCTGTGCCTGCTGTCTTTAGGTCCTTGCTGGTACTATRTCATTTCAGTGCTGTGGGAGCTAAAAGTCTGCAATAGACACGTGTGAAAAGCAAAATCAAGAAAGGATGTAATTGGTTCTGTTTATTGCCGAATGTTTGAAATGTGCAGATTTGTCTCCTAAATCCATATATTCATCTTGATTTTGAGTATTATTTGGCAATATTCAGTGCTGTGCAGGCTCATCATGCCTTGTATATACATTGAGCAGTTAATAGGATTTCAATAGGTCCATTTTGACTTTGAATTGCACTGTTAAAGAGAAATAATGTGCTTTAGTGTTTATGTATATTAACATTTATGTTTTATTGCCAGTTTTTGAGTACTGGATACTCCATTTTTAAATGAGTATACATAATTCTATATGCAGCAATTTTTCTGTTTATATGTGTAAATTGGTTACTTGCGCTATCAATTAAAAAAAACCCTGCCATGGTAAAAGAAGCTTCATAAAGAAAGTTACTTCCTTTTTTTTGTTGTCTGGTTAAATCTAAGAATAGATTTAGGACCTCTTCTGTTGGTCACTTTTTATATATTTACTACTAAAACTGTTCTTATTTATTCCAGCTTCCAAAGCCTTTCTCAAAAGGCTTGAACTATGAGCTGAAACAGGGCAACAAATAATRAAATACTTGACTATTTGGTAAAAGGATTGAGAGTTCATATACTATGCATGAGGGTTCCTTTGAGTCATTATAAGAAAGGATCTAGAAAAAGAGAAGRAGGAGGAGGAAGGGAAGAGCTGGGGAAGGAAATCCTCTTCAGCAACCCTGAATAAATTGACGATGCAGACTCAAGTGCACCACTGGTGGGCAGGTGCTGGATAGCTAGTCAGTCTCTATCCATGCAACATTTTAGCCTTTTAGGAAAGTATATCCATGCAGATCTCTGCATCTCTTCTTTCTAAAACAAAACTGCTCTTAGGTTGTATTTCCTAGTTAAGGAGACCTAGGTCTAGTCAAACTAAGCTGAGTCCCATGGCTTTCACTGACCTTTCAATGTAGCGACTGGCATGTGCATGAGTTTGTTTAGTTTGCTGCTGTGGAAGGAATTTGTGATATACAAGATGTTACTGAATATTATTCAAGTCTCAAAATATTCATGGATTAATATAGTGTTCTGGTGCAGGCTTTACTGAAACTTCACAGCACATCAATTCTCAGAAGCAGTTTCAACTGACATACGAGTTGCTGACTTGTCATCTGAACTATTAATATTCTCAATATCCACTGTAAACTCTTGCTTTTTTACCTGCTTAATGAACAGAGACACGGTCCAAAGACCAAGTAAGTCAACTTCCATGCACCTCCAACAGTAAATAGCATGTACTATGATAGTAATTAGAGATTTCCTACAGACATACTGTAGAGACATGAGGGGCTATTTCAGACCAAAGCTTTATAAGAGCAGAGAGATGACATGCTCAAGAAATGATCATTTGATTCTTTACAAAAACATATGTATGACAATTTACTCATATCTACGAGGTTTATTATATATATCGGTATATTATTATATATCAAAAAGATCAGAATTAAATACTTATTTCAGGTCTGAAAGAATTTTAAGAGATGGCCAAGAGATAGTAAAATTGTACTCAGCAAATGAACCTGGCATATAATCATCACAAGAAAGAAAAATCTCAGACATATTCAAGGAAGAGGGAAAACCTTGAGCTATTTAAAGTAATGTTAACTTAGAACTGTACTTGAATAATTCATGGGTATAATGAAGTATTTCCCTTTCTGCCCTCTCCCACATACTTCAAAGGGGAAAGGTGCGGGGAGTACATGAGGCCAAGCAAACAGAGGAAACACTTTAAAAATACAGAATTCCTGCCAACATTTGAAAAATCATTTTATCAAATGTAAAGCTTTTGGATGCCTTTCATATACCAAGAGCCGCTTGAAAGCCTTTTTATTTTTCCTCCAAATAGCACCACCTAATAAGTATATTACTCCCTACTTGAATACACTTTAGAAAGGAAAAAAAAAATTCTTGTAACATTTCTTAAGAACATTTTCTGTAGCTAATGTGGAAATCCATTTGTATTATAAATTAATATGCTCTTAAGGAAAAAAGGCAGAGCAAACTAGCGATGGAGGGAACTGTCTAGCTACATACCTCAGATCCATCATAACAGTCTTGAAAATATTGTTTTCCATACATGCTTCTGGCTGTGTAAGGGAAGCACATTATTTGCCATCCTGCTCTTACTGTTGCCCTTTCCATGCTCTCTGTGCATTAAATCAATGTCTGCCATGACACGTCTTTTGCCTGAGTGCTCATAACTAATGGACTTTCCTACCGCGTCTTCCTC